AATACAACCGGAATACTCTTACATGTCGTTAATTATATCGCGGGGATTAATTAATTGTACGAATGATCGTACTTTTCGAAAAATAATACGATATTATACGGAGCGACTCGCGTAGCTGTCCGTTCGCTCCGAGTTTTGCCGCGCGAATGACATCGAATTCACAGATGTTAACAATAGCGCGCGATATAAATTTGTACGCGTCGTACAAATAAATGCTGAATACCGTATGGCCATTTTTTATCACTACGAAATATTTAACACATTATGAAATGCGGATGTTCATTGAATTTTTCAAATTAATTTTTATAAATTCTTATAAATAAATTATTATAATAACAATTATTATAAATAAATTATTATAACAACAAATTATTTTAAATAAATTATTACAAAAATTAAACATTGAAAATAAATGGTTAATACATCATACACTGCTTTACGCACGCTGTTTTAATCTCTCGATTGATGTATTTACTGTGCGATCTGAATTCGAAAATGATAAATTATATCAAAATCGGCGAAAAATTGGAAGTATGACGTGAAATATATTTAATATATAAAAATAATTATCGCTTGTGAAAAAAAATAGATTTTTATTTAATAAAACTAATTCGTAATTTTTTTTCGTCACACTTCATTCCTTATTTAAATATATCAACAATTTTCTATTTTGATAAATATAATAGCCGCTTCGGTATTTGTTTACTTCGTCAATCGTAAAAATTAATTGATCGCGCGAAGTTGAAAATTTCCAGTTGTTTACAGGGAATAATCGCGTCTCCCGAGCTACAATCATGGATCTCTCCGTGCGATTAATTAACTGTCGCGATAAACGATACGTAAAAGGGTATCACGGCGAAGGCTATTTTTAGTTCAGGTAACAAATTGACACGATGAAGTACACAAATTGTTATAATAATAAATGTAGATTTCGCGGAATTCGTTAATTGGGAAAATATTATGCCCGCGATATTAAACGTTTCTCAACAATTATTGTGTGTTTCAAGATATGAAATGGTACCTCAAAAAAAAAAATAATAATACACGGATATCGTCTAACTGCTCATTCAAGCTCTACTAACCCATTGATGACATACATACATACATACATATACATGTATATATATATATATATATATATATATATATATATATATATATCGTAAAGTGTAAACAAAGGAGCGAGCACCGAACCTCATGACATATAATGTACTTTGTGTGTGTGTTCCTTTAACAATTAAATTATTGAAATTTATTATGTACATTTTAAATTTTTAATTAAACTTTGATAAAGTACAAGTATTATTGAAAAATGATAGAATACGTCTCCTTTAACAATGAAATTATCGAAATTAATATCTCAGGCTTTTATAACACAATTTTTAATTAATTAACTTCAATAAAGTTATAGTATTGCATGTGAAATAAATGCGCATTTTCTTCAATAATTAGTATATATTATATACTTTATATATATATATAAAATTATTAAAATTCTCTTAATAAACAAAGGTAAAAAATATGTTAATTGCGTAGAATATAAAAATAAGAACATATTTCTTTGCATTATTAAAATTTTATTACTTTATTATATTTAAATTTGATTTCAAAGGTCTTAAATTTTTAAATAATATTTATAAATATTATTAGATGCTGAAAATCCAAAGCATAATAAAAAAATATGATTCAATTAAATTTTGTTGGGAAAAAGGTCGTTCTAATTTTTGGCAAGGAATATCAGAGTATAAATTATTCGCTCGCTCTTACCACATATCTCAAAGATCCCAAACTCGGAGAAAGAAATCAATCTTGATATGTACGAACTAAATATCCGTCGAATATAACGCTTAGGACATATAATTTTGCGTAAAGCTCTTTCGTAGTTCGATATACGCAATTCCGGAATTGGATCGAGGAAACTTCTTGCCATCTATGATGATCATTCGAATTGGATCGGAACTTCTTACTTATTACACGAACGCGTGTGCGTCAGTTTCTTGTAGAAAGTAAAAAGTTCGATTGAGAATAGCAATCCGAGGAATTCAGTGCAATTTTTATTCTCACTGATAGAAGAAGTTGCGTGAGCGAATCTCGTTCATTCGCAATACACGAATATTGAGAAAAATATTCATACAACCGTATATTCAAACATTTATTTGTATTATATTAAAATTTTAATTTAATTTATTAATCAATTTATAATCAATAATTTAATTTTTATATTTTTAATTACTTTTACTGCGAAATTTATATATATATATATATATAAATTTTAATTCGTTTTTAATTTATAATACATATCATTTATTTTATTTATTTTTAAAATTTTATTATATATAAATAATATTAATTTTATCAAATTTATTTTATTTTATTAATTCTTTTTATCAAGCCTTTTATACATATAATACAAAAATAAAAATTCATATAAATAAATATTTTAAATGTATCGTGTCAAGTTGCTGTAATGAAATTTGTATCTATAGTGTTTGTTTTTTTTTTTTCGACGTCAAATTTGAACGGAACAACGAGGAAACCTTGAAAGAGAACTCACACGAACTCGCGTTCACTCTTCGTTGCGTGCGGTCGCTCCTGCTTTTCGCGTGATCGCCGCCTTTCGGGTGGCTCGCGCCCTCGAGAAAGAAACGATACCCTCGAAGAAGCGATTTCGAGAGCGTGCGGTTACGGCAAAATCGTGAAGGGAAACACGTGCGCAACCTCGGTGCTTTAGCGCGAAGGCCGCTCGTTATTATTACGTGCACTGTGAACCGATCGATCCCACGCATTCGAGGCTCGAACAATGATATCCAAGATTATGTGTGTGTGTATTTCGTTCCTTTTTCGTTCTTTTTCACTTATAACACAATATATAATATTTTGACATAAAATTATATCAGAGCAGAACGCGGTTGCACATATATGAAATAAAACATTTTATATAAACTATGTTTCTCTTTTGCTGAATTTAAATCTAAAAATATAATACAGTATAAATTTTGGGTGTACAATATGCAACAATTGTAATATGTATATATTTAGATTTACAATTTAATAAAAAAAGTAAATTATATATGTATATACATATGAAATATAGATTTTTCAATATTGTGTAATAACTTTAAAATATTTTCCTCCGGTAAATTAATACTATAATTAATTACTATAACAAGAGAAACTATTTAATAAATCAATTATTGGATATGTTTCGTGCTATTCTGTTTCTGAATGCAAGTAAATATTTTTATCGTCGCTTTCGCGTGGCAGATGCATCCGACAAGAGATATTGCGAAATGTGGCATCGATTAAAGCGGGAATTGTATAAATGCGAGCAAGTAATATGTGTCATTGAGACAAATTAGTATATAATATGTTGCTAAGGTTGAAATAATAAAAGGCGTCTTTCCGCATGATCTCGTGACAAGATTTCCTAGATCAAGATGCTTCTGGATCACATCTGTGAATTTTTTTTTTTATGAAGCAACTTAAAAATTGATGTTATAAAATATTTCCCTTCCACATTTCACAGAAAAATCATTTAATTTGTACAAAAATGCACTTTTAACATTCGAGATATTCGTCGACCATGTTTATTTTATGACCATGCAAATATTGAAAATTGACATTCAAAAATATTTAATTATACATAACATCAATTATATCAATATTATATGTGTGTAGCATTAGTGGATCACAAATAATTATTAATGCAACTCTAAACTAAAAAGATAAATAAATAAAAAAAATAACATTTTTCATGAAAATAAAAACATGGTAAAAATTCATTTTGCGCTAAGATTATATCGACATTTGAGAGATATTAAATAAAAACTGAGTTTTTCATATATAATTCGCTTTTTAACGTAAATAATAAGACTATTATTACTTGCATTTATTTGATTCAAATGACTTAAATGTGAGTGACGTTAGTCGCGTAAGCGGTAAAAATAAAACTTGTAAACTATTTTTCTCAGATAACGTGGTTTCCACATTATAATTAGCTTCATTGACTGCACCTTTTCCGCGTTGTGACGCATATGCGTAAATGTTTGCGGTAAAGACAATGCATAATTTTCATGCATATTCAAACTCAAACGCATCCGGATGTGCGATTTTGTATCATCCCGATAATAGAATTGTTCGGAGAAATCACTGACAAAGGCGAAAGAATAGATTCGTTTATTTTGCTTATACAATATTTCAGTTTGATGTAATTTCCAATTTGTGATTGTTGCGTGTATCCGAATTTTTAAATAGAATTAATTTAACAAAATAAATTTAATTTTTAATTTTGCATACAAATACATAATCTAATCAATTATTATATATTATTATCTCTTATAGTCAGTCCACTTTCCAAATATACAGTACCCTCCATAAGTTTGGAAACACCTTACATTTTACAGTTAAAGAATTGCATGGCAGCGATCTGTTATAAATAAAAATGTCATTTAAATATTTGTCATAAATAAAAATGTTATTTAAATATTTTACGATTTATAGATACCAAAAATCCACACAGATCGCTGCCATACGATTGTTTAACTGTAAAATGTAAGGTGTTTCCAAACTTATTGAGGGTACTATATATATATATATATATATATATATGTAATTTATAATGCGTTACATTATATTACATATGATTTGATTTACATTATTACATTATTTCGTCTCATTCAAATCCCTAAATATACGTGCGTTTAAGGTAAAAGAGATAAAACAAAAATTGACAATACCTATACTCTTCCTACTTGTATTAGAAACTATATAAAATTGATTCCTGTAAAATGATTAAACGTTCCACATTCGTATCCCCTCATTTACATTTTGGCATTAACCGCACAAAGGGCGCGGTACCATGCGAAAAAGGAAGAGAGTGGTGAAGAGAAAGAGCGAGAGCGTGAACGAGAGAGACAGAGAGAGAGCTCGAGAGCTCGAGGGGGAGAGAAACACGGCGCCGTGGCGAACGTCGCGACGCTCAGTCTACCGGCGTCGTCCGAACATGTACGATCCGTCAACGCATTCCTGCTCGACGACGCCGTTGCCGCTCGAAATCGTCGTCGTCGTCGTCGTCGCCGGCGACGAAAAGGACGACGACGGTCTAGCCGCGACCTTGCCCGCGAAACATCGATCTGACATGTCGCGGATTAGAGCGGAACGCCGGCGTCCTAGAGACCGGTTCTACCAACGTCGACCTACTAGCAACGTAGTTTAACCCTTTACGGAACAACGGTTATATACTGTACAAGATTTATTCCATAGTACGTACAAGAAATTATTATTTTACAAATATATGAACGGGGTGTGTAATCTTATATATTTTGTTCTCCGATTGGATCCATGTTCATTGGCACGAGTCACTTCGAATTTAAGAACAAAGGTTGTTTAAAATTATTTCATGTTTCATTCAATAATATATTTTATTTGATTTTACGAAAAATATCTCGATTGGCGAACGCATATAATCACGTGTATCCGTAGTTGAATAATAAATAGTATTGAATGTAACACAATGTTAAATAAGATGTAATAATAGCATTCGTGAGTGATCGAATTTGGTAGAATCGATCCTAGACCGCGTCGAGATCGCGAGTGTAAAGATTGGTGTTTCATTCTAAGCCGCTAAAAGTGAAGGGGATGACAGTCCCTTTAAGATTGGTTGAATCACATAAACTATTTCAACTGTAGGAGTGACATAAAGTGAAGGAGCGATTGCTTCATTCTCTACGAAACAATCGGTGTCGAGTTGATCCGCGGCATCGATAACGCTTATCCAGAAGCTTGTTGTGAAACTTCGCGAGGGTGGTTAGAAACGTGGAGAATCCGCCGTGGAGACGCCTGCGCTTTTCAACCCCTTACCGATGTCCTTGGACGCGGTTGCCACGGTAGACTCGGAGTAGCGTCCAGACGCGCTTTTAAATTCTTCACGTCTCCGAGATTGATAGATGGAAAGTGGCGGATGAATAACGAATGGTGACCTACCTACGTCTTGTTGTCGCTCTCTTCAATTTATCGACGAAGTCTTTCTATCGTAGCGATCAAACTCGAGATACGCTCAATTCTAGGTTTTTTTTAAACCACCTACGTGAAAGTTAGCCCACCCTAGCATTCGGGATAATTAAATTGCCGTACGTCATTTGATTGCACATTGCTCGCAAAGGTTTGTATTTTTTCTAGATGTGTGCAGATAAAAATACAAAATAATATGCAAATATACGCAAACAATGTGCAATCAAATGACGTATTTAAAATTTAATTTTTTTCAATTATCGGAAGGCTAATTTTAGGTATAGGTTTTTTAAACCGACGTAATTAGATCATGTTCTAATCGATAACATATGAAATTTTTCGATTACGACACTTCAACAATCAAATGTGAAAATTTTAATCTATATATTTTAACGCAGATAATATGAAATAGCTCTTTGAAATTAATAATGAGATGTGTATTATTATTAATATTTGAAATTTCTCTTTGTAATAATATTATGATATTTGACTGAACCTTTTATGTGTTTCGTATATTAATTTTCTTTACGTTAATATATATTCTTCATTTTATTAATAATTGACTATTATCAATGTTAATTTTTTACTGATATAATTTTCTTGATATAATTAATTTTTATTCGAATGAGAAAAAATCTCAATTTCAAATTTTTATATCTCTTACAGATTCATATATTTTTCAATCTTTTCTTTATGTTGAGTATACTTTTCTTGTATTTTTGAAAATATCTAAGAATCGACGTTTGCTCCTAAAAAAAAGCACTTTGAGTAGTTTGGAAGTGAATTCTTCAATTTCTCAGATGCATAAAACGCCTTCGTTGGCCGTGATTCAATCGTCATTCCTATTTACGTTTAAACGAGTTGGCACTCAAACTGAAAACCGTATTTCAGCATGAGTGATGTGCGAAATGACACGACAGGCTATAAATCGGAAACATGTGAGCACACTCTCATTACAATCGAAGACAGTTAACTCGTGTTCTTTGACGTCAGTTCTATATTTTCCGGATTCTCAAATTCCTTAGGTGAGCGCTTAACTCTTTTTAAAACTTCGATGATCCATCAAATTCAAGTCAGCTACATATCAGATGACATTTTTTCCCCAAATAAACTGTCAAGTGAGAAACATGCACGCACAAAAGTCGACAATCCTATCAACAGTCGAATCATCGATGACATTTTGTAACTTTTAATCTCTGAAGAGGAGAAATCTCCCGGTAAATTGACAGGTAAAGTACGAATATATGTCTGTCGACTCTTCGAAACTTTGTTCGCCTCAATGTTGCCTCGACTGCGAGGCACAGTGAACGAAGGAATCAATTCTGTCATTCGCCAATCAAAAGGTTAACTTAAAGCCATTGTATCTATCAAATAGATCAAATAGAAAATATGGCGCGAGAAAATTATGCCAATCAAAGATAAAAAATAACGGTGTTAAACGATAGAATGTCTGATAAAATATAGATAAACAAAAAAAAAACCGCGAATATTCCATCATCGATCAAAGAAAAAATTTAAATTTATTTTTTCATTAATATATTATATTTTTATTAAATGTATTATTTTGAATATCGTGTATTAATTGATAAATTAAAAGGTAAGAATTATAATAGTAAATATAATAATTTTATAATTCTTAGAAAAAATAAAGAAACATTTTCCACGTTTAAATTAATTAACTTTTTTAGTTGCTATTATTTATTGGTAATAAATTTGTTACATTTCCAAATTGCTGTTATTGATAAGAGAGAAGCAATATTAACTTTTATACGTACATGCTCTTACATATACGCACAGCACAAATATATCTAATGTGACAAAACTCCGGGCCATTCCTCTATGAATATTGCAGTATCTAAATCCAGGTTTCTCTTGAGAGTTGACTTGCTCTATACTAACTTCTACTTATCCTGATCCCTTCGGTTATCCCACTTCATCGTTTCGCGTTTCCATCGCCTCGAGGAGACCAAATATTCGTGAAGGTTACGTTATTAATGTTTAATGTTTAATAAGGAAATATCTCTCCCAAGAGCCACGAAACCCGAGATACGATCCTTCTCAGTAGAGAAGCAACGCCCAATTTGCACACAAGCTAAGAAGGCCACAGCTTAGATTTCACGTTGCAAACATTTTTGCGTCATTTTTATACGTCACTAAATCATCATATGTGTATCAATTTTATCATAATTAACATGTATGAATTTTACATAATTATGATAAACAGATACTAATAAATTTCAGTTTTTGTTTGCTTAATATAAACAGTCTGTAGTTAATTAAAGATATTTGAAAGATACGTTCCTGTGTATTATGTTATCAAAATTGTAAAAAATATTTTATTAACCATAAACATATTTTATTAACAGGAAGAGATGCAAATTTATTTCCGCGTTATTGCAAAATCATGGAAATATTTTGTTTTAATTAGTTTCATTATAATACGGTGACCCCTTATTTAAGTTTGAATAGAAATCGTTATTAATTATTATATTACATTATTCATTATGATTAATTATAATAGAAATTTATATCTATAAGAAAGTAAAGAAGAAGGAAAAGATTACCCCTACAAATGCGCGAAGCCATCTGTCTCGTTTTAATTAATATATAATATATATTGGATGTTGCACGCAACTTAAATTAGTTTCGCCATGACAAAACCGCCAATACGCGATCGCGGCGATTACGGTAAATCAGGTTTCGAAATTGCAGTAATTGCTCGAGGACCCTCGTTCGTGCTCAAGTTGTCTTTCCAATACCGGGGAAGTTTCACGCGGAGAAGTCATGCTGATATATGACATCGACGTCCGGCAATTTTGTCATAAACCAATTGTCGGTGGTTAGGAGCTGTCGCTTTTCGCATTTCCAACTGAAAATTTGATATATTGCTTAATTGGCCGTAAATTATTGACTTCGCTGCAAAGTTGCTTCGACGCGTCTTTACGGGGATGGAACAAAATACCTATATAACTCAATTTTTCCGCTTCTCCTTGAGGATATCAGTTTTTAATTTGCTATACATTTGCTTTTTATATTAGCATAAATATTAGTTAAAAAAAAATTCTAATTAAATATTCGTATTTTTTTAAGTTTAATCTAGGTTTTAAAAAATACATTAAAATAGAGAAATATGAAAATTGAACAAACAGCATCTAAAAAATACAAAACCATAATGTTAAATATTAAAAAAATATGAATTATATTGAACTAAAATATTACATGAATCTCGATCAATTGTAATAATAATGTGATAGTTAGAATGTTTTATAAGTCAGTTATTATATTATATTTTAATAGAGAAGTTAGATATAGAAATGCCGATCAAAATGAGATTAATAAACTGATTGTAATGAGCTGTAAATATGTCAGTAATAGAATGCTAAATATTCACACATCGAATGTTAAATTCTTGATTCGTCGCGGTCTACCGTTAAAACAGCCGGAAGAAACCCTAAATTATACGTTCGTAATCATGAATATAAAACGAAGCGGTTCCAAGAAAGCGAAGGAGAAATCGTTGATGAGGCGTTTTCGTCATAATGATCGTGTCTTGTCGTTAATAATACAGTCAGATGTATTTACAGATAATACACTCGCGAAGCCACATGTGGCATATATATATAACGACCAATATACGACTGGTACGATTGTAATTTCGTCCGCCATTGCGACGAGTAGCTTCGAGAAGGGGACGAAAGTTTCCGTCAAAAAAGTGCCATTACTCGCATCCACGTCGGATTTATTGCCTGATTTTTTGCTTCTTGCGACACTGCTATAGATTAATCGACATCGTTTTCATCATATTTTCAGATGCACAAAAAGAATAGTCAGACATCAAAATGATTAAAGAGAAAAATTAATGCATACGTATAACCATTCATTATTTTTTATTTACTCTTACAAATTTTGAAAAGAATTTATATATATATATATATATATATTTATTTGAATTAGCATTTAACTTTTATTTTATTTTATTACAGAGAATTTTTTTATATTTACATTATAGCCAATAAATATATTTCCGCATTTTAAATTAATTTTTCAATAAATAAAATAAATCAATTCTTAAATTTAAAAAAAAAACAGATTATTCAACAAATCATTCAGCAATCATTTAGCAGTCTCAAAATAATAAATAATTAAATTTTAAAAATTGAAAAATTTCACAAATAATATAAGAATAATAAAGACGAAATACAAAATAATATTATCTCCCCAACTTAAAAGTAGTTTAAATCACCATGGAAAGCGATAACTGGCCAACTTGAATGACAATGGATGAACATAGTTGAGCTTGGAATGACGTTTAAGTGTGACGTACTTTTATATACCATATAAAGATCTAATAGATTTAAAACGAGAGGTGCTTGAATCGCCATCATGGCGAGAAACAATTGTGGAAACCGACGAACTTGTCGCTGGAGCTTCGTAAATAGACACTTAACATGATATTACGACTTCCGGTCTGGGATGGAAGTCAGTGAGCCTCCGGACAAGGAGGTGAACCACCCAATATTAATTAATTTCTCTTCGAGCGTCGAGGACGTTTCTCAAGCAGAGACTGGCGAATCAAGCAACGTGATTCTAATCGCCTTCAAAGGCCTCATAATGATCAGCATCATCGTCACCGCTTTATTAGGAAACGCGTTAGTGATCGCGAGCGTCAGGAGACACCGGAAGTTACGAGTGCCCACGAATCGCTACGTAGTGTCCTTGGCAATGGCGGATCTTCTAGTGGCAATATGCGCTATGACATTCAACGCCTCGGTCGAGCTTTCCGGGGGCACGTGGTTGCTAGGGAGCATTATGTGCGACGTATGGAATTCGATGGATGTGTATTTCAGCACCGCCAGCATCCTTCATCTTTGTTGCATTAGCGTGGATAGATATTACGCGATAGTCAGACCGCTCGAGTATCCGGCCATTATGAGAACTGTGACAGTTACTGCTATGCTAAGCAGCGCCTGGACATTACCGGCCCTTATCAGCTTCATACCCATATTCATGGGCTGGTATACCACGCAGCAGCATTTGGATTTTCGCCGGAAAAATCCGCAGGTAGCGATCCTCGACGCGATATATTTCAGAATTCAAATCTTTATTTATTCAGCTCATTCGTTTTCTTTTTATCTTCATAATAAATCACACCTCACATCGTTCAGAAAATTCTTCTTTACATTATAGTAAAAAATTTATTAATTGATATATATATATATATATAAATTAATTTATTAATTTATATATATATATATTAATTAATTAATAATCAAAAATTAATTATTCTCTCTAAATCTAAATTCGACGAAATAACATTTCGAACAGATATAATTCCAGAATCAAGATAGGTATTGTTTCACAAAATATCTTCAATATTCGTTTATCAATGCTTCTAGTTCCCTGCTTATCGCGCTCTCAAGAATTATATGAGGTGATATTATAAAAAGGCGATTCCTTATTTCGATTCCCCTATAGCTTTGATTGCACCCTTATCTCATGACATTAATCTATTTATCGCTTTTCCGATCCCATTGTCTATAATTTATACTCGGCTCTAGTCTCGATTCACATTCGTGACATTGGTTATTGTATTTACGAGATATAGAGATATAGAGAGAGCGCAGAAAGATTAATATCTCTCTCACAGAGTTTACTTCAGAGAAAATTAATCAATATCAGTGATTTATTTTCCGGAATATAATTTTCCATATTATTTTTCGTAGAAAAATTTGAGCTTTGTCGCAATAATTAAATAATACAAAATGTTATACAATTCTAAATATATTTTGAAAAAAAAGAATAATTTCTAAATATAAGTTCTAAATATGACATAAGAGTTATAGAATTTTTATAACAAAAAAAATTCAGATAATTATTTGAAATAACAAAATGATTAGAATAATAGTGAAATAGTAGAACAGAGAAGCACATAGTTAAAATAAAAAGATATGTCATATTGATATTTCGTGGCGTATTTGAAAATAATATAAATGCGATATTTTGAATGATGTGAGGTGTATCAACTATTATATCCACATTGGAGCCGTAAACTATCTAATCGATACAGTTTACCGTCGGAAAACTGCCAGTGATAGGGCTCATTTATCACATAACTTTTATTAACTATTATAAGTTACTTACGACGTTCTTTCCTTCGTAATAATTACTAAGATTCGAAAATTAATTGATCTCCAAAAATAGAATCTAATTGCTACATTTATCACTTACACTACCAATTAATGTTCCTTCTTTTTCATAATTGATTGTATTAATACCATATCAGTCTCAACAGCAGGCAAAATCAATTGATTATCGGGTATTTTGTTATTATTTTCTTAATTGGCTTTAATGTAGTTATTTACAATATTTCTTGCAATAAAAACTTCAATTTAAAATTTAATGAATTTCCAAATATGTTACATTTATTTTCTGTTCAATTAATATATTTTTATGATTAAATTCTCTCATAATTTGTATTATATTGCTATTTCCTTAAGTGACATCAATGTAATTACTATTTTTATGATTAAACTCTCGTTGTCAGTCATTGAATGAAAAAATTGTAGATATTACCTCAACTAGTACCTTTTAATTACAAAGAAATTAATTACATATCGTAATTTATATGCTGCTAACATCACGTCGTTTTTGAAAGCTAATTATGTAAAAGTCAATAAAAATCAATCACGTTTAAAAAAGAACGTTATTTTCAAAGTCCTTATAATTAATTGTGTATAATTAGTGTGAGAGATATATATATCACATTACTTTGAAAAAAGCAATTCATTAACGTTGAAGTTGTGATAAATCAGTTGCAGCGTCGCAGCTTCTCTCTAAGAAGCATGAGAAATTTCAAAATTTTAAAAAGAAAAGGTAAATAGCACGCGACATATGAAGCAGAGCAAACGGGAAAGAGAAAAGCATATCCTCTTAAATTTCGCACTATAAAAGCATTTCCGAATTTTTAACTTTCTAGTAGCTCATTCTGATTCTTTAATAGCACAATTTTAACAATTCCTTAATTTCGTTCACATATATAACTATTATATTATTATTAACTCCGCTATTATTATATCGAAAGCGATAAAATAACGGCGCTCTGCGTTTAATCTTAGATTTATTAATATTGCATCAAATCTATCGAAGCTTTTTTTTTTTTTTATTTTAAACTAAAGAATAGAGAACTCCTTTTTAGGTTTCACGTTCCATAAGCTTCAGAATGATTTAAAAATTTAGAAAAAAATCGTTATTTCGTAAAACCCATTCACATACATATGTAATTGAGAAAGAAAATTCCGACTACGCGTTCCGCGCGATTGAAAAGAGCTTTCGGCTTCTGCGATCTTAGATCTGCGTGTTCGTGGTGAACCTTCCATACGCGGTGATCAGTTCCTGCGTGTCCTTCTGGATCCCGGGTATCGTGATGATCTGCATGTACTGCAAGATCTACAAAGAGGCGGTGAGGCAAAGAGCGGCCCTCAGTAGGGCATCCAGCAGCACGGTGTTGAACAGCGTTCACGTGCGCCGGTCCTCCGGCGGCTCCAGACACCACTCCAGGACGTCGCATCAGCTGCTGCTGCATCCGAGCGATGCGAGCGATTACGGAAGACCGCTCTCTTATAGGGCATCGGCGGCGGAGCTCAACATCGAGAACGGTGAGTGCGAAACAAGAACCCGGGAGAAGAGAAGAAAATAAAGTTGAAAAAAATAGAATGGAACAAGAGATGAAATAAGATAATATATATATGTGTGTGAAATAATAGGTATAATACAAAAATTTATTTGAAAGTGTATAGGTATATTATAAATTGCTTTTTTGTGTTTTGAAACACTCGTGGAATTCAGGTCGAAGATACCTACTCGGAGAGAATTTTGTCTTAGAATTTATCTTGAAAATCATGGTAATCGTGGAATTATATATGGTATTAGAAGAATTTTAGAAGAGATTCTCTAATTAAAATATTTAAGCACATAAAGTGTAAAATGAATGGAACATATTTTATATCATATATTGTGGCAGATATTAATATTTATTTATAACACGATTAGCATGATTTTCAGAGCAAATTCTCTCCGTGTACAATAAAATATAAGATAAAATATAAATGAAGAATGATAGAATATAAATGAATTTAGAAATGAAAAGACTATTAGCTAAAGAAAATATTGTGAGACTCCGACGCCAAAAATCTTGCACATCGAATGTACAGAAAGCATTGGTGTCCCTCAATTATCGGTGAAATTGAGCGGTGGCGAATTCAATTGCTTTTCCATTCCCCATCCATCTCTCGTCCAAAAAGCCTTAATGCACGTTTCAACCGACGTGCACAAAGCGAAGATTATTACTTTAGCCCGGGGCGATTCGCCTTTTTCTCCCGCTACGGCTGATACGTCGAAACCAACCGTGTAATCATCGATCCGAGGAGAAACTTGGTTCGAAATTCGTGGCCAAATGACACGCGGCGCAAAACTGCATGGCCATTATGACGGTCGTTAATGATACAAAGAACATTAATGAAACTCTCTCGACACATGGATTACACTCTCCAGCACACAACATACACACACGTATATTTTATTGTAACAATAATAAACTCCTATTTTTCTTTCATCAGTAGATTAGTCGAAAAACAATATTAAAGATTTTATTTTAAAAGAAATGTTTCTCAATTTTTATAATCCAGATTTCTGATATTATCTCTCACTTTTTGTGACAGTCTGAAATTATTAAAATATCGATAATTATAATAGATAATTAAGAAACATATTTATATTCTATATATACATAAGTACTATTTTAATAAAAACGATAATTTAATATTGAAATACATTTTAAATAATTTTCGAAATTAAAAATATATATAACGCAAAATACATAAAAATAATAAAGTCAATCAAAATTTTTGATTTAAATGATATTATTTTAAGTAGCTTCATAAAAACGCGACAAGTTTTAAACATAATTATATTATTAAAGGCAAAAGCTGCAACGAAATATATGTCCATACTGACACTTTTATAATAAGTTAATCGTTTATATAACGAGATCGACAAGAAATTTATTTCCATATCGGATTGACAGTTAAAAGCACCACTTTATAACGCTCAATTTAACAATGGCAGAAGTATTTACAAGTGTATAAAGATCGATAAAGTGTTTAATTAACCTTTAAACGGTAAATTGTTGGAAATCTCGGTAAACGAGCAAGATTATACAACGCTGTCAGAATTCAATTTTGAAATAAATGCCGCAAATTACACATCATGTCAAACATCTGCTGTTATAAATATGATATACAGTATGTTTTAAAAATGTTCAACATTGACAGCTGAGATTTTGGAGACAGATTCTTCAACAAATCAAAATAAACTTATTTCTTTAATAAAAGTGCTATGGAAAGTAATATAATTTAATTAGTTTTTGAAATATTTTTAAAATATAACTTTAAAATTTTTTTATTGTCATTAAATGGGATTACTTATTTATTATTACAATAAGCAGATTCTAATGAATTTCCTACATTTAAATTCTTTTAATTGAAAAAATTTGAACCTACTATATGTCTAAATTTTTTGATATAATATTGATATTTCTTAAAATATTAAAATACAATATCTTATTTCAAGCTATTTTTCTTTATGTGGTCGTCGATATTCATGACCATGAAAAGAGATGTGCAATATATAAGTTCTGATATAAATCACATCATATCGCAATGCGAATTGAATTTTATTTCCAGAGTATCTTTATCTTGTGAAGTTTTGCATCATAGGTTTTATATTTTGTGAATATATCCGACACGAAATTTTCAACATATTGATTGATGTGCTGTCATTGTATAGCATAAGTGCTATAAATGTCATACACTCGCGTCACATTAAAAAATAACTATATCTTTATACGAACGCGAGTTTAACGTCAAAGCGAATTAATTGTCTATATTATTATATACGTGCGCAATATCTCGTCCCGATCAACACAATTCACAATGACACCAACGCAGTATTCTATTCAAAATGCACGTCCCGACGGATTTTCCGGCTGTTATTTTCCCCATCTCGAAAAAGAATGACGACAGTTCCGTAAAAGAAAAACAAAATTCGTGTATATTTTTTTGCAGCGTTTTATATCTGATCGCGTAGAAAAAAGCGCGAAAATTCACGTCACCATGAATTTTCCGCAAATGCGTTTTGCGACTTGCACGTGGCAAGAACTGCGGTGGATTTGCGGCGGATTTGCCGAATACAAAAACTAGTAGTTGTATATTGTTTAATAAATAGAGAAGAATAATAGGTTCTCAATATTAAAAAAAAATAATATTTCTTCAGTTAGGAAAATTATTAAAAGAGAGAGAGAGAGAGAGAGAGAGAGAGAGAAGAGAGAAAGAAAAATATATGCCTATATATAACAATTTTTAAATTATTACGTGCATATATTTCACATTTTCCAGTAATTGCTTAGGTATCTATCAACTGCATAATATCGTGATTTTTGCAGGATAACTTTTATTTATATCATCTATTACTGTGAATTTTCATTACAAGTTTCCCTCGTAATGTAATGAACTACTGCTCATTTGATAATGACTCCTTTTTCACTGAGTCCTGCGTGTTTTTGAAATGACAAACAAATAACGCAGTAGATATTAAATAAAAATTTATACAAGACAATGCAAAGTAAAGAACACATTAAATTGAAGAAAGTTTAGAATTTAGAAAAAGAATCGCAAATATTTTTAAAATGAAAAAATTGTAAAATTAGATTTATAAAAATGTCAAAAATATTACATTTAGAAAATTGAAATATTTAAGAAATAATTTTTTAACATTTCTGAATGTTTCTGAATGAAATAATTATCAAATGAGATTTGTGGGAAAGATCTAACATGTAAGATCAAATTAAAAAAAAAAATAATAATTCGAAATTGGAATCTGTTGCAATAATTCCAAAATAAATCACTCGCGAATAACATCAAACACGAGCGGAAACCACGCGATTGAAGCAAAATGTTTATCATCAAAATCAAAATAAACTCTCATCTCGATCGGTTTCGCATCCCCTTTAATACTTCGGCGCGATATTACATTTCTCGCAATTCTCGCATCCTCAAAGCAATGTGCTTGAAAGTTCACGACAGTTCTCCATCCCTCTCTCAACTGGCGTCCAATCGTTTTGTTCGTAAAAATAACGTCAGGAAGTCGTGTCTCTAATTTTGACATGTAATTCGTAGAGTAGCGTAGTGAAGTTTACTCGTCGTTTGCGAACCAAGTATGAACACGTCTAGTAATAGATCATGTAATCTAGTAATAGATCATATCTCCCGCAATGCATCATATTATATTCTACACGGTGATAATGTCGTAACGTTCGATCAAATATAAAAAATAACTACATATGATCTCTTTCTTTTTCTCTCTCTCTATGTTTTGTTTGCTATAATAAATTCTACAATTGCCTGAAGAAAATAATTTAATAATCATTTCTACGGTAACATTAAGAAATAGAAATAATTATAACCAGTCAGTATATAATATAAATAGTATTTAACTCTAGATAATATGAAATAATAGAATTTTATAAATAAATATTTATACTAAAAATTAAATTCTATAAAAGTCTATGAATCATATAATTATAAATAATAAAATTCATTTTTCCGAAATAACATATAAACATTTTCTGAATACTTTTTAATTGATAAAATAAAGTTATAAATAATATCATTATAGAATAAAATCTATGAATGAATTTACAAATTACACACACATACATCTATGTATTGTTCAAAAACTTTCTCTCTCGTTCCCCCTACATCCTCTCTCTCTCTCTTTTATATGTAAATTTAACCATTTTATAAAAAGGTTCTTCTTTTAATGAAAAAAATCTTATAAAAACTCAACGCTTTATAAAAACGGCTAGGCATTTTTAACTAAAATGACGAGTTATAAAGAACCTGCATAATATATAAAAGTTCTTATTATAATTTATTTTAATTTATTTTAATTTTTTAAATAGAATGTAAACGAAGTACCGTAACTAGAAAATTGCAATCATAATTGTCTCGAAGAAAATTCCACGCAGATCTTTTAAAATGTCACTCGGTTTCAAAAAAAAATCTCGTTAAAATTCGCAGTAAAAAAATGTCGAAGATCTACCCATTCAAAAATGAATAAACATGCATAGAGACATAAATATCAACATTGTACAAATACATCCAAATGTGTATCGCGATATCAAAAGGGAAGAAGAGAAAGCGAGAGATGTTTCGAAATATATATTGCGATTTTACTGTTGAATTTTGTTATTCAACAACTCTTTCATTTATCCTCTCTCGCACGTTTATTGAAACTTTACACTCGTTTACAAAAAGCACGACTAAAAATTGGCATCGTTTGAAAAATTCATAAAATATATAACAAAAAATATTTCTAAAACGACCTCGATCGGTACTTCACCATCTTTCTCGCCGAAAAAAATACTGTTCTATACGAGCAAGATATGCAAACGTATCGATTACTTTGCATGATATCTTCTATGGGGCCTATATATATCACGGAGAGACATAAAGCTGCCAGATTGCAGGTATATATAATCTGATTGTACCAGATTGCAATTAATTTATATATGTGTAACGCGTGCACGCGCAACGAATAT